AAATATATAATTTATATGAATAGAATAGATTCAACCATTAATTTAATAAAAAATATATTATAAAAAAAATTTATATATAACTAACATTAAAACTTATAAAAATTATGTAAATATAATTAATTAGATCTTAACAAATTTTTATATTTGCTCTTGCCTAAATTAGTCACAAATATAGAGATGATCCATTTACCTAAGTTATAAATATTTTATTTATATATTTGAATGATTCCCATAGTTCAGACTTTAACAATAAAATTTTATAAAATAATATATTATTATATTTAACATTTTTTAAAAGTTTAGGGTACCTATATCAACTGCCACTTACGGAAATAATTCGGTGAGCACGAGACTCCCAGATTTAGACGGGGTAATGTTAGTTGGAACGGTAAGCAAAAGTGGTCAAATGTGATGCAGATTTTAGTGCCTAAATGACGAAAATGTTACTCCTTCTGTTGGTTTAGTTGTCTTTAATTTGATGTCTATATAAAATTTAATTAAATAATTCTATATATTAAATAGATAATATTCAAAAAATTTGTTCTTTTTATTCATAATTTTTATTGGATATTTTCACTTAAATCATAAAAAATTTTCAATTGTCATTCATTTTGTTATATAAAATGATCAAGTTAATTTACATAAAATTAAGGGATTATGACAATTAAAAAAGACTAGAAGGATTATTAATTATTGAATTTGCATGACTAATTTATTAAAATTTCTTGTTTTGCAATACAATTACAAAAAAAGAATTATTAAATGAGAGAATAGTCTCAATATTAAAAAATCTACCTTACCTCATAATTTAAATTGTATGTCTAAAATTCAAAACATTTTTTTAGTTCATTATACAATATTTTGGTTGTATTCAGTCCAAATTGACATTTTTAGTTGGTTCGTTATGGAAATAACATACTCGAGGACTTGATTAATTTTAATTATTTTTATCTGTTAATTAAGTAACTAATATAGCATTTTATGAGTTGAAACAGAATGAAGTAATAAAGCCGACTATAAATGGAGTGTTAAGTATCATGAAAGCATCTGCCGAAGCGAAAACAGTTAGAAGGTTGGTTTTACATCTTCTGCCGAAGCATTGGATGTTCTAGAACACCAAAAACTGGCGTATGATGAAACCAGTTGGAGTGATTTGAATTTTATCCTGTTGGTAAAGATGACCGGATGGTTTAGTATATAAACCAAGTATATATGGTTTGGTTTGGTTTTTCTTTTCCAAAAAAGAAAATCAAATTTGATCAGTATTCCTAATCTCCTATTCTAATTTCCCTGTAATTTGCAGATGTATTTTGTGTCTAAGACAAAGGCAGAGCAGGCAGCCTGGGAGTTCGCTAAAGAGAACAACATTGATTTTGTCTGCATAATCCCATCACTTGTTGTTGGTCCTTTTCTTATGTCTTCAATGCCACCGAGTTCAATAACTGCCCTTTCCCCCATCACAGGTATACACTGTTAATTGTTTCTGTCATTACAATACAATTAGTTTGGAACTGATGTATAATGTTCTAATTAAATAGGCGTTTGAATTAATTGTTTGATTAATTTATGAGAAATGCTTTTCGTATAATATTTTTGTCTTATCTTTTTATACAACCTGACGTGTCATTAAAATAATTAATTCTTTTAATTCATATAGGACTCATGATATTGAATGCATCCATTCATTTAATTACATGTGAAAATTATATAAAAATATGAAACAAAAAGATTATCCTTATAACACCATTCTTAATTTATACAGGGCAGGAGAGCCATTACCATATTATAAAGGAAGGCCAATTTGTGCATCTTAATGACCTCTGCTTGGGGCATATTTTCCTGTTTGAGCATCCTAAAGCGGAGGGCCGTTACATTTGCTCCTCCCACAATGCCAGCATTTTTTATATTGCGAGAAATCTCAGGAAAAATACCCCCAGTATAGATTTCCAACAGAGTAAGTAGGATAAATTGAAATGATTAATGATAGGAATCGACGAATCGTGTTGTTTATGATATCTGAAGTTTGACAAGAATGAGGGAGTTTGCTCTATTCAGGTTCAAAGGAAAAGATGAGAAGGACTTGAAGGAGATAGTTTTCTCTTCCAAGAAGATCAAGGATTTGGGTTTCGAGTTCAAATACAGCTTGGAAGACATGTTTACAGGAGCTGTTAATACGTGCCGAGCCAAGGGATTGCTTCCTCTTTCTTATGAGAAGAAGGATGTCAATGGCACAGCCTAAGTAATTTGGAGATAAATGTATAAAATGAGTGTCATGTGCCATCCCTTATTAGTCATGTACCTTCTTCAATTTGAGCGTGTGAATACGTGAATTAATATTGGTGCTGCAATATTGTTGGATGCGACACTAAAAATGTTAGTACGATATTATGAATACCAATAGTATTGGCTTTCAAGGTTGGAGGACCATGAATATAAGAATGTGCCTTTGGTCATGCCCATATTTGGTCTCGACTGTTGGCAGAATGTTCCAACCCCATGGGACATGGGCTTTCCATGTAGTAATTTTCTTCACCGACCTATAAGCTAGCCGTGGGCAAGAAATTTGCCTTGGTTGAAATTTTGCAAAATTACATGATGACCTCATTTAGTGGGGTGAAGAAAATTTGGATGGGTTTTTGGGTTTTTACCCTGTAAATAGCCATGCATGCAAAGGCAACATGCAAGAAGCAATGCAACACCAAGTGAGTGAGTGAGCTTCCAACGTGAGAGCACCGAGTGAAGAGAAAACAGGGTGAGAGCTGGGGATTAAGTTAGGTGTTAAGTGTGCTTCATAAAAAGGGTACATTGAGTGATAAAATTGTAAATTTATCAAGATGTGAGCATATTTTGAGAGGAGAAAATACAAAGAATGAAAAACACTTAAATGTATACTTTATAAAATCTTATCACATAATAAAATATTTTTTAAAGTTTTGTTTCATGATTTTTTCTCTCAATATTTTTTTAAAAGTCTTTCACATAAAATTTGGTCTCATTTTATTACTTATTTTTTTTCTTAAATGGATGGTTAAACCACCGTTATTACTAATTATTAATATTGACCAACAAAATCAGATGTTTCACCATTCTTTGTTATTATTCACAAGAGCTTATTTATTCCGCTACACCATTTTTTCCCAACATCGATCACTTGAAACAACAAATTTTTTGGGGTTTATGTGGGACACATCACACGACTAAATGTGGAATGCAACAAACAGTTCTTTTCTTCTTTCAGATCAATTCAAAACAATGCTTAAATGGAAAAAGTTTTGCAGGTATAAATAGTATGATGCTTAATGAACTAAAATATATTAAAAAACCTTATTAAAGTTGGAATGAAATATTTATTAGTATATATTTCAGATTTGAATTATTTTTTAATAAGTATTTTTTAAAATCTCTGTTCGATATTTATTAAATATTCTTTAAAATTATATATATTGAGTATTTATTGAGAATTTTTTTTAAAGTGCAATAAGTATTTATTTGAAAGTTTTAAGAAAAATTTTGTTATTATAGTAATTTTATATATAGTTAAGAAGAATGTTTAGTAAAATTTAAAAAACACTTGTTTTAAAAAGCTATTTCTTTTCTCATAAATTTAAAATTTTACTAAAAAAAATTCAAAAATTGACTTTAAAGATGTTTTAAGGTTAGAAAAAATTTAGATGTGTAATTTCTTCAATACTTATTTAAAAACTACTTTATAAATAAAATTTTAAAATTTTCTCCAATAAAACTTTAAATTTATAAAAAAAAAAAT